CCCCCCCCCCCCCCCCCCCCCCCCCCCCCCCCCCCCCCCCCCCCCCCCCCCCCCCCCCCCCCCCCCCCCCCCCACACCCCCCCCCCACCCCCCCCCCCCCCCCCCCCCCCCCCCCCCCCCCCCCCCCCCCACCCCCCCAAAAAAAGGAAGAATCATTTGAGGTCTTAGAGATGTTTTTCTGCTCAGCTGGCAAGCGAACGCATGTTTCGTCACGCCTTCAAATTCAAAAGTTTGGCTGAGCCTTGGCATGACCTGCTCTTCCATGGATTCCGTGGCTGGTCGTGGGCGTCCCCCCCCGAGCAGAGCCGAGCCCTATAGCTGAGATTAGCTGAGCGAATGTTGCCAGACCCCAGCCCAGACTCCACATAAGAACATCGTAACAGAATTAAATGCTAACATACACGATAACCTAAATGACAGTATTTGAGAAGATCCGAAGAACATCCCCTAAACCCTAAACCTCAACCCTGACCCCTCGTACAATTCTACAATGTATATATATATATATCAACCCCAATCCTCCAGTCGCAAGGCAGCGGGCCTTGCGATCGGCGGTCGTGGAGGCAAGCCTATTTCACCTCACTAGGGTTTTGGGTTCAGGGTTTGGGGTTTAGGGTTTAGAGTTTAACCACTTCTGCCCCGATGCTTTGTAGGAAAGTTGCTGAGTTAGAGCAGGCGAATACAATCGTTCTGCCTGTTGCGGTGGGCCGAAATGGTAGAGTATCAAACGACATCGAAGTGCATTGCCCCGGAAGATCACCACGTAGCATTTTAAGAACACTGGCAGATGATGCTTCCATTCAGCAGCAGTGGAGGTGTCGAGGAGCACGACAAATTTGCAGGTCAGCGCCAGCACTATTCGCGTTCGTTGACCAGGGTGTGCAGGCTTCCCGAAAAGCGAGCAATTCCCAAGGCTATCACTTGAGGCATCGCGAAATCATAAGTGCCACAGCGAGAACCCCCCCCCCCCCATTTTTTGAATGTGCTGCCCCATTTCTTCCATCAGTCTGCAGCTATTGCGACTCCCCCCCAGACCACCTTTTTCAATTGCAACCGCAATACTTGACTTCATGACCCAAACGTCACACCGAAGCTTCAGACATTTCTCAACCAGGCTGAGTCTCTGAGCTCAGAGCTCTCGAACACCGCCCCCTCTTCGCTAATTCCTAAGAAAACAAGCAATCCAGTATAGTAATGTGTAGCAATTTCATAGTACAATAGATACATATAATACATTATAATACTATATAAGAAAAAATCAACTAGGTGGCATCCCGGTCGGCGGAGGGGTCCGCATTGGCGGTGGCGTCCCGAAGGCAGCTGCCAGCGCGGCCATCGGGCTCAGAACTTTCCGAGTCATTCGGTTTTGTGGCTGGTCGTCCAACTGAGACCTCTACGATAAATCGCACAGCAGGGTGACAGCAAGAAGTGCGAGGGTTTGTGTATTGGACTTTGGCGGCACAGGAAATGCTTGCGCCAGCGATGCAAGGACGTGCTTTCTTGGCATCTTTTCCGGGTTCGGCCTGCAAGCTTGTGCAAGAATACTCCTCTGCATGCAGGCGTTCCGTGCGTCCGTTTTGCCCAGGGAAGGTAATGCATCCGGTGCGTGGGGGCTGTCTCTGAGTCCAACGCCCGAATGAGAACCGCCATGGTATGAAGCCTTCCCATAGTCAGCTAACATTCGGCAAAAACCCAGGTCAGCCCTTTCTGATGCCGGCTACAGCAGCACCTCCAGGAAAAGAAGTGCTCGTACAGCAGCACCTCCAGGAAAAGAAGTGCTCGCTGCCGGGGCTTTTTGCACCGTGGTAGCTGATCTGCACCAATGTCTGACATGCTACTACGGATTTGCCGCGCTTGCAGCTTTATCGGAAGCAGTGATATGGTCAGAACATGTCAGAACTGCTGGAGCGAATCACGGCTAGCGTGTTCATCAGAGTCGGCCTCACTTGGCCGATCTTACCCACAGCTTTCACCAACATTCAGCAAACACAACTTTCACCCACAATAAGCAACCACAATGGCTGCCGGAAACCTCAATTTTTCAGACCTCCCGAGCATGGCATCTCCCAGTCCAGTAAGCCATGGTGTGGTGCAGAGGCCTCTTTTCCGCGTGGCTGGCCTTACGCGCGTGCGACAGGGTTCACGCGGATTGCTTGCCTGATGCAGTGCCACCAAGCCTTCGGAAAGAACTCCGCAGCGATACTGCAGAGTTCCCACTTGGAGTTTGGGTCAATGGAAATCCCCAGGACCTGATTCTGAGTGCCATCTTCGAGCAACTCAGCCAGGAGATGCTCGGCATAAACGTGTCGGTGGCACAGCAGCCACGGCGCAGTGTGGAAGATGGATTCTATGCCTTGGCCGGCTGTGAAGCAAACGAGTCAGAGTGGATTTGCTACGGTGCTGAGTCGAGGACCCATGTCATGCTAGGAGCCTTCGTAGTATACAACGAAGCCAAGTTCGATGAAGTGCAGCGCTTGCGCGTGGGTGGTATCTTGGAGCGCATCGGCTCTGAGGGCTACGACTTCTCCCAAGGTTTGTACCTGGCTGGGGCGCTGGCTGAGAAGGCCGCTGTGGAACATGACATATCCCTGGACTTCTATCGCACATATCGAAATGGCAGCTTTGGGAACTTGTTCGCCAAAGTCGGAGATTTCGACCCTGCAGACCTCATCCCATGTGCAGATTGGAAGCTCTATGATGTGGAGGAATCCAAATTGCAGTATCTCGTGCTCACAGGAGCTGAGATGTTCGGGAACCGAGTGGGCCGATGAATAAGATGCTTCTGAAGCCTGTCACACTCTTCAGACTGCACTATCGCTGCAAGTGCAACTGTCGGGGATGGATACCCTCATATTCTAGCTTTGCACTTGATGCACATCTTGATGGCGGATCTAGAGTGCAAGCCAGAGACTTCACGAAGAGAAGAGCTTTAATTTTAACGCTACACGACCCGCCTCGGCCCGGCCCAGCGCATCCGCGTGAGCATGGTGATTCCGCAGCGCCCAAGTCGCTGCACCCCAAGCAAGGAGGGTTGGGTTTAGGGTTTAGGGTGCTGGGTTTATGGTTTATAGGGTTCCGGGTTGAGGGTTAGTTCGTCTTTGGGGGCTCACGCTTCACGGTTTGGCGAAAAGCAAAAGGAGGCGGGGGGGGGGGGGGGGGAGGGGGCAACCTATACACCTTTGGCCGAGGCCTCGGCGGATTTCGTAGGCCCCCACCCACCCACAATCTTGTGGCGTTGGCCCTTTTTATGAAGAGATTTCCCGCCGGGTGTGGTGTTGGTGGGGGGGGGACAGCCAAGCTCTTACTCTAGAGCTTCTCGAGATTTTCTTGGAGCCAGCAGAAGGATAACAGGGTCTCAGACTGGAGCTCACGAAATGGAAGAAATCCCCCCCGCCAATAAAGCATCTGAGAGTGCGAGAAGTTTTTTAACATAGGGAGTGGCTCCATAAAAGCGAGTGTGACGTTGCATAGCATCTTCGGTAGCTTGTTGTCGAGTGCTTGTTCACGCCAAGTCGCGGAGAGAGGAGATTCCGACGGTTTGGAGCTCGTAGACTACTCCTACCGCGTGCGATGCCACGAAGTGAACTGGTGGCTGGCCCCAGCCTGCCGATCCAACTCTTCTGCTCCTTGGCTTACAGGCACCTCGTTCTTTCCGAGCTTTGAGCAACATGCCAACCTGTTGCCCAATCACTTGCCCTTCTCGGTGGTCCGGAAGAGTTAATTGATTTTGACCCGCTTGCCTCACCTGCACCATTTGCCCCTCTTGCCCTGCTTGCCTCGCTTGCCTCGCATGGCTTTAACCCACCCCACGTCTGCCTCAAACCGGTTTGTCTTTGAGCTTTGTGGCCAGGGCAACACGGCAAGTAGGACAGCGCCCACACCCCACCCCTCCGCCCCCCTCCCCCCCACCCCACTCCACTGGCTTTCAGAGGCTCCACCCGCCCCAACCGCAAGTTTGTGAAACAAACTCGTGGCTGGCAGCCATCCCCTCCTCCATCGGCCGGTCCAACCCCCTACCCAGTCCAACTCCATTCCAACTCCCAATCGCTGCCATGGCTTATCGGCAAGGGGGGCAGGCTCTGACCCAACCACAACGGGCTGTCTTTGAAGCAGAGCATAGGGCAAGGGGCAACGGACAAGCGGGGGTAAGTGGGGCAAGCGGGGCAATGTCGTTTTCTTAACGGGCGGAATCGAGAGGCAGCTGGACGGTTTGCTATGAAGTGGAGCGCAGAGGGTAAAGGTTGAAGCCCCCCCCAGCCACCATCCCAGGATTGCATTCCTTGCCTGACGTGCTACTACTGGGGAATCGCTTGGTATGTTACGGAGATTATGCACAAGGCAGGTGTGTGGAAGATGCCACTGGCGCTTGGTGTGGGCTCTGGCTGCGGACCGGGGGGATCCTTTGAGCGGCTTCCACGCGCTCATAACATGCTCTTCTACTACTGGGCACCAGATGCAATGTTCAACTCGCTGCAACCGGTTGCAATCACCTTTCCAGCCCATGACTTCAAAGCGTGGCTTAGGCACGATCGGTCAACAATGATGCAGAAGGTCCAGGTGGAGACTGTGGTGAACACCGACATCTCGAAATGGGCCCCAGAAGTGTTAACCTTCCTCAAGGGAATGCGATTCGGGACCCAGGAGATGAGTCAGCTTCTGGTCAATTCCAGCGGCAAGGACTGGAATGGTCTTCTCAACGTGGCTTGCGAGTGGATCAAGCAAAATGAAAATGTTTGGAGAAGTTGGGTGCCCTTGCAGTCTAGCTGCTTGCCAGGTCAGGGCATGTTCGCTACCACGACGCAGTCCTTTGTCCACACTCGTGGGAATACAACGACTTGCCAAACGTGCTCGCCAGGGAGGTACTCTTCTCTGATTAGAGACGACACCGGGGACACGGCTGAGTGTCGCTTCTGTCAACCAGGATTTAGCCAGAGTTCACATGCGGCCGTAAGCTGTACTCTGTGTTCCCCTGGGAGCTTTTCCGAGCGGAGTGGCTCACCATGTGTCAGAAATGCCCGCAAGGGGAGTATCAAGATCAAGAAGCAAGCACTGCTTGTCGCGCCCGAGCTGAATCATGGTAGGGTGGCTGTGGTGGCTGGGGGGAGGAAGTCTGAATTGGTAGCCCAAATTAGTATAACAACCAGCGGGACATTTGTGTTAGTGGGCGTCCACTCATGCCCATATTCAGGGCGCTGCGGCCCGTATGAGACGACGCGTACGCTCGGCGCCAGCCAGCGCAGCCATTGCGAGTGCCAAAGTGGGTCGTGGTGGCAAGAGGACGCTGGGTTCACCGGGTGTCGCCCGTGTTCCCGGGGCATGTATCCTCAGCTGAAGTGAGAAGTGTTGTCGTTTTTGGTTGCCTTGTTCTTGGTGCAAGCAGGCTAAGCAGGGAACTCAAAGCCAACACCACTGGCCCTTATTAGCACAGTGAGACATCCATTTGCGAGGCAGTGCCGTGGAGGTTTGGCCCTGCCAAAGCAGGGACAGGGTTTTTGGGCGGCGCAGGAGTGATGTTTTAGGGTTTAGGGTATAAGTGCTGAATAGTGGTGTAAGTGTTTTTGCCCGGCTATCGACTCACAGACCTGGATGGAAAAGGGTTTAGGGTTTAGGGTTGAGCATTCAAAGATCAAACCGAGAAGGCCTCAACGCACTAAACCGAAGAGCCCTCTTCTCAGCCCCCCTCCCCCTCCCCCACCGCCTTGTTCTGGATCAGTGCTTCTGTGAGTCCTCCACTTCCTATCATCAGTGCAGGAGACACGAGATGGCCGAGAGCAGTTCTCCGTATTCCACTGCCGCGATGAGCTGCATTGTCCAGCAGGCTGTTGATCTGTCAGTCAGAGACTTCTCACGACTTCCTACCGGTGTGATAGTCACAGCAGGAACCATAGGAACACACAACGTAATCAGAACAGTGCGGGCTTTATAGGGGAGTGGCCAGTGGTCAATAGACACAACCTTGTGAGTGTTTGGCCCTGATGAAGAGGCATTCCTGGAAGCTGTGCCGAAAACCGCATCGGACGTGCCTGCGCAGCTTGTCTGCCGGGACATCAGCCGACGGCCAAAGGCAGCTGCAAGCCGTGCGATGGCTCCTCGCTTCTGTTTTTCCCAATATTCTTCGCAACGTTGGTGCTGGTACCATTCCTGAGCACTTTTCTGTGCGGATGCAAATCAGTTGCATCTGCAGAATCAAAATTTTCAGCCAGTTTGGCAGTCGTTGGTACATTCGCTGCTCAGTGCGTGTACAGCATGCAGAGCCTGCGCACGATACAGCAGTTTGAAATCAAGTGGCTGGAGCCTGCAAAGTCGCTGATGGCTGTGATGTCCTTCGCTCAACTGCGTTTTGAGATGCTGGGCCTTCCGTGCTACATTCCGCAAACCAATCCAATTGCCACATACGTTTTGCAACTTCTGGCCTTGCCCAGTCTAGCGCTCGCTTCCCTGCTGCCTGGGGTGCTGGCTCGGTTGCTCCGACGTAAGTTCAAGTTCCGCATCATGTTCAAGCTCTTTGGTATGGTGTTTGTTTCGTTCTTCACAGGCATCACGCTGATGTGCTTCAAGCCGCTGGAGTGCCGGGAAAATCCCAACGGCAAGTCGACGGCTCTTGAGTACGCGCAGGTGTTGTGCTGGGAGTCGAACGACCACATCATGCTTGTCGTGCTTTCCATCATTGGCATCCTGGCATATCCTGTCAGTGTCTTGGCATGGCTTGTACATCTCACGTGGAATTACCCCATCTGGCTATTATCAGCCAGAGGAATAAGCACAGTGGAGAAGTACCACTTCTTATTCGGGAAATTTCGGCCGGAGCGATACTATTACTGCGTACTGCTCACATTGGGGAATCTGTTGGTCGGTTGCATCCCAGCATGTTTCTCGTCGTTGCCAGCACTTCAAGTTGGCGTGATGAGCTTCGTGCTTTGGACTCGGAATGCACTGCATTGCCTGCTCTGGCCCTGGCGGGTTGAAGCGGCGAACTGGAGCGAATTGCTTTTGCAGGGAGGTGTGGCGCTCCTGCTCAGCTTGGCCGCACCGCTGCTCAACCTTGAGGCTAGCATCCAAGATCGCAGCGAATTTGTCTTGACCGTTTGCATGTCCGTTTTGCTGTTGTTGCTGCCCTTCAGCGTCTGCCTTGCTGCGACTCTCACGCTCTTTCTTCGGGCAAGGAAGCAGAATCGATACACCACCTTCCTGTCCCACCACAAGGCATCTTCGGGCATTCTATGCCGCTACTTGAAAATTGTGATGACGAAGAATGCTCGGGTCAAAGTTTTCTATGACTCGGATGACCTCCTCAACTTGGGTGATCTCTTTGAAACACTCCGGACAAGGACTGATAGCCTGCTAGCAGTGTTAACACCGGGATTCTTGCACAGCGTTTGGTGCATTGGAGAGCTTACCTTGGCGTTCCACTGCAGCCTCCCGATTTTTGCCTTGTGCTGTGATGGCTTTAAGTTGCCAGAGTGTGATTTGAACCAAATTGAATCTGGTTGGCCCGAAAACGAGATTCAGATGCTAGTCGCTCATGGAGTCGGACGAGAAGAGGTTCAGGCAGCTTTGGCTTACCTCCATCGGCTGGAGCATTTTCAGATTTCCCGGACAGCACCTGGCAAGCAGCAGGAAGCGGTCGCGCTTTCGATCACGTCAGCTATTCTGGATAAATCTGAAGTCAAGTCTCGAATAGCATTTTCGACTCCGGAGAGGACAGCTGGGGAAGTGGTGGGTAAGGCGCGTGTGCTGGTCGCTTCTAGCATGCAAGCCGACTCGATGTCAACTAGCCTTGTGATCCAACATCTGATGCAGCACAAGCTGCAGCAGAGGGTGTGCCACGTGCATCAGGCAGCCGAGATCGAAGCAGCTTTCCGAGCTTCAAGCGTGGTGGTTGTTATGGGAAAGCACAGTTTGGAGGATGCGGACTTTTCGGACATGCTTATGGCAATGCCTGGGGCCTGGATGAGGCTCCTTGTCAACGATGGCTCCTTCGACTTCCCAACCCATGACTTCTACCGGCGAATCCGGGACGGTCAGCTCCAGTTTCGCGGAAACCCGCACGACATCATCGCCACCTACCAGGGGCTTTGTTCATCCTTGGCTTCTCGGAGTGGGCCCTGGGGATATTTTATCCTTCCCCATAATTGGACTTTAAGAGTGTCATATAATTATTCAGGAAGATTTTTTTCAGAGGGTTTTGGCCATCCCAGGCTCTCCCTTTGACACCTGCCGGCCCCAGCTGGCTGCTTGATCGACAGGTGAGCCAGATTTGCAGCAGGTTGGGCGATGTTGATTCGACAGGCGCCACCTTTGAAGACGCTCCTTCGCTTCAGCTGTCGCGAAGTGCGAGGAGCTGGGTGTGGGAGCAGGAAGCGTCGGAAGACTACGACCCTTACGTGGAACATGCGCTGTGAGCGCGTTCCGACCTTGGTCCTGAGACTTCCCAACTAATGTTGAGACGCTGCTTTGTTGTAGTTTCAGCGAGCGAGCAAAACTGCGCACACAAACACACACGTCTGTGGGAAAAGGTGGGTCTCTCCGACTTGATTGGCTGGATGGTGTAGACTCAGGGACTCTGTCTAATAAGCATAGCCTGTAATTCCTCCTGCCGAGCAACAGAACTACTCCTCCATGCTCGCTCGTTGGCGTGCGCGCAGTGTTTGGCTCCATGGAACCCATGTGTCCCTCACCGCTTATACCCCGTGTGTACTCCCCACTCCCTTTACGGGCACCATCTGCTGGTTGTTTTGATTCGTCTTTGCGCGCTGTCAAGTGGCAGAGCTTGTTGAGCATCGCGGCCGGTAGATTGAAATGCTGCCATGCAAAAGTCGCGCGAGGCTTGGATTGCAGCCCGTTTGGGACCTGTATCGAAGCATGCCGTCTATATCCGTCTATATAGATATAACTATCACACCAAATATGTAGATATATATATATATATGTATGTGGATGTACATATATCTGTATCTTATATATATATATATATATATATGTGTAGTAGGGCAATTAGGGAAGGCGAACGACGTTGACCTGGCAGTTGTCCAGCTTGGCAGGCCATGTCAGCATCGTTGAGGGCTTTGGCTAAAGTAGAAGATGTGCCCGGCGCTGAGAGACCGAGCTTCCAGCATGTGGAGCTTCATGAGCAACTTCGCATTCAATCCGTTCGTTGCAACAAGCTTCCAAGTTGTTTGTTCCAAGCCATTCCTTATGTCTTCTAGGGTTGTTCCGTTGCATTGAGCAGGGGCCTGGAGTCGTTCGAGTGCCTGTGTTTTCCCGGTTGTGAGGCCTCCGGTCACCGAGGCCTCGGGAACCATGAGTCGGCCTTGAAGCTGTGTCCCCCGTGGTGGGTTGAGAAGGGGCTTTGGCCGACTGAGGGGGTCAGAGTCTTCGAGACTTCAAGGGCATTAACCAAGGCCAAGAAAAATAAGCAGAAAGGTGTGGGGGTAGTTTTGGGAATCAGGGCTGAGCTGAGGATGGGCAGAAACTTCTTCTTTAATGAACTTAATAGGTTAATTCTTCTTGAATGAACGGTCGAGGCCAATGCAAAAAGTTGTGTGTTTGTAGGGTTTTTGGGGTTCGGGCTTAGCCTAGGGTTGGGCAATGGATCGTCAGGAGCTTTGCATCTACTGCTTTGAAGTGCTGCTGGCTCCGACCTGAGACGGTCTGATTAGGACCTCGTTTTTAGTTGTTAGGCTTTCGGGTTTAGGTTCAGCCAAGCTACCACTGGAGCCCTGAAGCAAAAAAAATAGTTCAGGGTTTGGTGCATACTTGAAGGCAACCGCGGGCCTCTCACATGTCTTGAAGACACTCCACTCCTGGGATCCCCAACAAAGCCCATCGCCCACATTTCCTGAAATCCCTTGATGCCCCCGAAGCACAAAAACCGCAAACCCTAAGGCCTAAGAACGCCCGAAAACCCCAACAACCCTGAACCTTCTCGAAGAAAAACCCGAAACACCCTGGCAACCCTGAACCCTCTCTAAACTATATCCCCCTTGGAAATTACTTTCTATTTTTGTCCATATAAAACCCAAGAGGATATTAAGAATATGATTTTTTTATGAAGGTTCTAAGGGGATTATAGTAAAGCCCAGGCGAGGCTCCAAGGAGTTTCGGCACCCTCTTTGCAAGGCCTCTTGTCGTTGATTGGCAGGCTTGTTTGGGGTTTAGGGTTTAGGGTTTAGGAAGGCAGGGGTCCTACACTTGGGCCAACGCGGATGAAGGGTGCTTGATAGGGATGGCATGATTTCCCTTTTTATATGTATCTCTGTATATTTTCTTATTGTTATTATGTATAGATATGTTCTAAATTGTAGTTGGGGGCTTGTGGGTTCGTGATGGAGGGGCTTTAGTTTGTCATTTCCGCAGCTGGCTGCTTGTGGCACAAAGCATTAACTCGCAAACATCTTTGCTCAACTATCATAATTCTTGTTGGTTCTGTTCATGGTTATCTTTTTAGCTAGATGATTGATATCCGTGATTTGTAGATGTAAAAGTTCTATACAAATGCCCCACGATATTTATTAGGACATTACACCCCCTAAACGGTCCATCAACGAGTTCTCCTTGAGCCAGAGGAAAAACGGTCGACTATTCAACATGTTATATATGACATACACTTCAGTTCAGAACCAATAATTAAAAACCACGTGGAGACATGAGGTTTAAAGTGGCTTCAATGACATAGCCCTGTACAATCGAGTATAGTTTCCATTGCATGTTGCCGAGGAAAAAAGCAAATATTCAGATAGCGAAGAAGGAAGCAAAGCCATAGACCCTAAACCCTAAACGCATTCTCGGAGGAGCATCGAACATCGATTGTCGGGGAAAGTCTTTTTTTTGGGCTGCAGCGCCTGCCAGGGGTTATAAGGGCAGGGGGTGGGTGGGGGGGAGTGGGGGGTGACCATAAACAAGTGTGTGTATATATACACACTATTATATAGATAGACCAGACATGCATACATATATATATATATATGTATATGTATATATGCATATATATATATATACATATATATATACATATATATATATATATATATATCTTCACCATCATCATCATCACCACCATCATCATCATCATCACCATCATCATCATCATATTCTTCTTCTTCATCTATGACATATAATATATGCACACACACATATATATATATATATATGTATATACAGGAAGAGAGAGAGAGAGAGAGAGAGAGAGAGAGAGAGAGAGAAAAACAGACCCAGGACATCGCGCGCCCCTCGGGGCGGCTCCCCTTCGGGGGGGCCAAGCGTGCGAGAGAGAGAGAGAGAGAGAGAGAGAGAGGGGGCCTCACAAAACCAGTCGAACACACACCAGGGCCGCCCAGCTCTGGGCTGGCCAGGAGGAAGGCGAGGCTCCAGGACACCAGGGTTTGGGGTTTAGAGAGCCCGGGTTCACAAGGGTTTAGGGTTTAGGGTTTAGGGTTTAGGTAGGGTTTAGGGTTTAGGGTTTAGGGTTTAGGGTTTAGGGTTTAGGGTTTAGGGTTTGCGGAGAAGGGTGCGGCAGTTCCGGGCGGACCGAAGATGGCTGGTGGCAACGGGTTTAGGGCCAAACAGGGGGAAGGGCTTGCAGGGTTTAGGGTTTAGGGTTTAGGGTTTAGGGTTTAGGGTTTAGGGTTTAGGGTTATAAGGTTTGGACTTTGAAGGCCAGGTCTGCAGGGGCTGGTGTTTGGGATGCGTAGGCTTGATTGCGTAGCTTTCTCAGGACCCCTGCCGGAAGGGTTTCTGGGTTTGAGTTTGGGCCAGATCGTTGATTCAGGTCCGGGGCAGAACCCAGGTTCGGAGAACCCCCGAACAACAACATCAGCCAAAAAAGTTCGAACCTGGGTTGAACCCAGGTTGGAACTCCTTTCTAAAAGGAAAAGAGTTCGAACCTGGGTTGAACCCAGGTTCGAACCCCCGCCCCGACCTTAGTGATAATGAGATACGGCTTTCAGACGCAAAATTCTCTCCCTCTCCATGTCGCTGCGCAGCAATTTTTTTTAACCATGCCCCCTGCTATTTCAGGCCTCTCCCAGCACTGCCAGTATTCCTTGAAAAAGAAGGACAGCCTTTCCCTCCCTCTCCCTCCTTCTTTGTCTTTCTTATGTGCCGGGAACGGGTTTATCTGGGCTTGAAAAGACGTGGCCGCGCCATTTTCTGCGTCTGCTGGAGTTCGTTTTCCCTAGTCCATTCTGCAACACTATGTCTGGGCTTGCCATTTAGGGCAATTTAGGGTCTGGGGCATTTTGGTCGAGTAGTAGGCTGTGCGGGTCATGGCATATGTCGATACCGTTGTTTGCAGTGGGGGAGTCTGAATGTTGGCCTGGCAAGAACGCACATGTAACATGACTGTAGAGCGCACCGGCACCGTAAGGCTATTATTTTGCATGGCATTTGTTGGAGGGGCTGCTGGAAGTTGTTGTTGAACTGGAGGTTCCCGCGCTCTTCGTAAGCTGGCATTCGCCCGTGGGTCTCCGCGGCTGCCTTGGCCCTGGTATCAGGGCAAGAAACCTACGACGAGGGTTGTCGCATAGGAGGGCCACTGTGCTGCCAGTGGATGTAAGTGGGGGGCCCCCACGGAAAAGCAGGTCGCTTGCATCGGCCTGCTGTCGTTTGGAAGTGCGGTGCATCTGGTTTGGCCAAGGGTCCGCCCAGGAGAGGCGGTAAGCCTTCCAAGAAAGGTCTACAAATGGCTTTTTGGTGTCAGCGCACTGTAAGTTGCAGAAGTTCGGCGTGGCTTGACCGCAAACTACCCCCTGCTCAAACGATGTCCCCGGATGGTGTAAGTTCAGGCTCGCATCCTAAACTTGTCCTTGGAATTGCAATATTCAGCTTCTTGCCGATCCACGACCCTAAAATTTTCAAGCCTTAGGAAACCCTAAACCCTAAACCCACCCCGAACACTGGCCGAGGCATGGGCTCTATGCAACCAGTGGAGTTGGAACGTGCGAGAACCCAGACACCATAGAGCCAAACCTTGGGCCCTAAACTTGGGATGTTCCCCCCAACAGTCCTCAATAGGGATTCTCGTACCCCCTATTAGACTCCCTACAAAGGATTGTTAGTGTATAGAAAGGACGGGGAAACGTCCCAACCCTAAAAACCCCAAAGAAATAGTCGGCAGATGCCTTGAACAATCCGGTCGCGTCGTGAGCCTCCTTCAGAAACTCGCAAAACCGAAGGTCACACCCGAACCTTCGGGTTTAGGGTTTAGGGCTCAAAAGGGTTTAGGGTTTAGGGTTTGCCTCCCAGCTGCTCAATCTGCATTTGAGATCCGCAAAGCTAACCCGATCGTCCCTCGCAAGCCAGGTGGTCTCGCAGACTGCGCGCTGTCCAGCGCTTGCGCCTCGGGATGGGTGAGCGCCGAGTTTCGGAGCAGGAGGTTGTGGGCTCTTGGGGATTCAGGTGCCGAGCATGGTGTCCGAGGTGATTTGTCAGCATCCGTGGTTTTCGTTGCTTCGCCCGTGGAAGGTTTGCTTCATGCCTTGTCGATGGTGCCCTTGCTGAAGCCACGGCGCAAGCCAAGCATGGTTTTACTTTTTTGCTCCGAGAAATCTGTCTAGGATTTTTTCGGGGTCGGGTTTCGGGTTTGAACAGTTAAGGGTGCACCTGGAGTTTACGCTCTTGGTCTGTTGAGGCCTTGAGTGATTGTCGCTTCCCTCCGATCACACTGAAGGAGGCACGGCATGTACAGCTGAAGAACAGTGACTTCAAAGCTGACCTTGTATAAACATACATAGATAAACGCACACACACACACACGCTCTCAGCCTTGATCTTGTGGAGATGTGGGTGTACTTGGTGCTGGTAGAATGGGATAGTTCCGAATACATCCCTGTGCTTTGGTTGGGGCTACTTCTTCTTGAAGGAAGGAAGACACGCTTCATAAATCGACTGTTGGTTTTCTGCCGCCACAGGCGCGAGACAGGATGCAGGAAAATGTCCGCCAAGGCTGCAGCAGGAAACGAAGAAGGCACCGACACGAGGAAAATGATCACACCGAAAGACACCCTGGGCTGAAATGCTGTCTGCATCCAGTTCGCTCGGATGGACTCAGTTCCAGGCAGTTCCATGCGCAAATTGAACCGAGTCATGTCTTCAGCATGGGTTGATGCAACCACGCCACACCATGCCAAGCCCGTACGAGTAGCCTGGCATATCTTAAACGTCGTTTCCGATTTCCTGTGTGCCACTTGAATGGGACATTGATTAAAAAAAAGACTTGGGCCCAACGACTTGCAATTTGCAACTCCTTCCTAAAGTCTGAACCTTCCCGATGCTGGGCTGTGAGCGAGGGCATGGTGTGAGGGCGTCTAGGTTTGAGCCAGCTCCTGTTTCACCTGCTGCCTCGTGAAAGGGGGTACATGCATGTGGCCGGAGGTGAAATCGCTGACTTGTCGTGTGCGCCGACCTCGGGGGGACCGTCAATGAGACAACGGGCCCAATGCCAAATTAGCAAGGAGTCGGTGGAGGTCTTTGTCGTTCTTTATCGTGGCTCCACTGCTTTGTAGGGTTGCTGTCGAGAGCTGGTGTCCATGGCCCCCCACACACCCGACCCAGACAAAAGCCAGCTGCAGTCCTCTTCCCCCAAGTCAAGCTCAGGTCCGTTTTACACACCTTCGAGACGTGTCAGGACAGGTTGCAACAGCCTGCCGCCCTCCTTTCAAACCCCGGAAAGCACTTCATAGGCACCTGACTGCGGTGACAGAGCACTAAACCCGAGTCAGCTTGGGGGCGGTTGGCTTTCTTTGGGTTAGCGGTTAGCATACTTCCGCGCAGAAGCCCGATGAGCCCTGGGTCCTGAGCTTCAAACCTCACTTGCCCCCAGTCGTGAATCCGAAGCTGTTAAACCACCGAATCCTCACACTTATTATTATTAGTAGTAGTAGTACTATTATTATTAGTACCATGATTATTAGTACGATTATTATTAGTACTCTAATTATTAGTACTCGTACCAGCTTGTGACAGTGCCAGGGATGAGAGCCGATATGAGCCGAAATGCAGGACCTGTGGGACTGGAAGGTCGGCCTCCACGGCGCGCTGGCACCCAGCCCACGTTAGGGTTTAGGGTTTAGGGTTTAGGGTTTAGGGTTTAGGGTTTAGGGTGGAAAAGGTAGTTTTTGAGGGTTTGAGAGGGTGCAGCATATGTGGATGTGATTGGATATGCAGGTAGGCCACCTTGGGTTCACAAGTTCGGGTATCTTTGCACCACACAGTTCACAAGAGGGACAGGCCTCCCGGCATCAGATTTGCCGTTCGACTGGGCTCTTTGCAGGTCTTTGCACGAGATCAAGCCAAGCTCGCACGTGCTAAGTTGGGTTTAGGGTTTAGGGTGTAGGGTAAAGGGTTTAGGGTGCGGAGCTGCAACTGGTATTGTAGAAAGAAGTTAGTGTTGGAGGTTGAAAGGGTTAATAAACCCGGAAATCATTTTTTGGCTCAAGACTGGGCCATGTGCCTGGTAGTAAAAGGTGAGTGCCCTGTGGTTTGGGTTTGTTGTGTGGTTGATCCAGGGAAATCAAGGGATTCTGTTGGGGTTGACTTTTCGGTTCCTCGTCCCCCTTCGGGTTCCCCCCGTAGGTTATGAGCCCAAATTAGGCTTCCTGCGGTATAGGTAAGATTCTACGCTTGTTTGGCGCAATGGACATGTTGCGGCGTCGGTCGGAACCTGGACTGTCATCCGCGGCCAATGAAGCCGAAGAAAATCGTGGTGATGGGGGTGAAGAACGGCAACAAATGGTACAAGCGCTGACAGATGGTAGGGAGGTTGCAATGATACAACCAACGTCTCAGGTGGAAAACGAAGTGGTTCCGGTTCTAGCAGCGAATCCTTTCTGGAGCGAGCGGGCTCATGAAGAGATGAGACTAAGGCAATCAAGGCCAGCAAGTCTCCCTGCGAGCGGAGGGGATAGGAGTGGTGAAGAAACAAGAAGACCACCGTCGTTGCCAGAACTTCGGGATCGGGAGCCGGTTCCAGCTGAGAGGCCATCTTCAGGGTTGATGGGCCAGATGGAAAGAGGGAATATTGGTGAGACACAAGGCGAGGAAGAGCTCATTCCTGATTTGAGCGGTGAAGAACAAGGTGAAGATATGGCGGTGGTAAAGCGTGCGCTGAAAGAGTTGCTTGTGCAAACAAAGGAGCTGGGAAATAGACTGCATCGGGTGGAGGAGAAAAGCTATACCTCTGCTGCATCTGGGTCAGCTTCGAGAGCACGGAGCACTGGAGTGGTGGACGCGAATGCTGCATATCCGCTGGGAATGACTCCAGAGAAGCAGTACCTGCCAGGACAAGTTTTCTATACTGATGGTATGGGTGGCTTCTGGACTGTGTTGCCTGATGGGACATGGCTGCCGATTGAGGGCTACGACCTTCCAAAGGGTTGTGACCTTCAACCCTTGCCTGAGCCCAGGAAAGGGGAGGTTCACGTGGAGGATGAGAAGGAAGTGCCAAGGATGCACGTAACTGAAGGGAAGAAACCCTCCAGATTGCCTCCATTGAATTACCCCATGGGAGGTTCTGCAAGTGGTGGATATGCAAGTGGACCACCTGGTTTAACACATGTTCCGATTACTTCCTTGCCGTCAGGCGTTGATGGTTCTGCCGCACTGTTGGGAAATCAGCCCGGTTTTGTCTCAGCTCGGGAAACTTCAATGCAAGAGAACTCAACAGGATCGGGTGGATATACAATGGTGGATGATGTTCCATATCGGTGGAAAATGATTGCTGGGAAGTTGGAATTAGAGAAGGTTCCGCTTACAGTGTTTACGCCCGGAATGGGACATGGACTGCCGCAAGGGCCTGGTGGAAAGGTCAGCTTACCTCCTGGAGCTGTGGTGCCACGTGGGATGCCAAACATTGGTGATAGTTCTGGAACTGAACGTCCGGAGGCTCTTGGGAAGCATGTGATGAGCCTTCCTACTTTGGCAGACTACACACCAAGCAATCCGACGGCACTAGGTGATTGGATCGCAATGATCGAACCAATGTTGTCTTCGCTGACAGATACAGGAAGAGTGTGGTGGCAATCCGTCTATACAAAGGCGTATGAGGCGTACGCCAAATGGTTGAGTGTTTCTCCGCTGGAAAGGTTGGGCATCAAGGCTGAGCTGGAAGGGCTCAAGGGGGTTCGAACTGTGCATGTTTTGTTGGAGCAGAGAGCGGTGTCTTTGCTGCTACAGGCGATTCCGGAGAGATTGAAGACCGAGATCGTTTCCACTCGAATGTTGGGGTCGGTGATGATATGTTACAAGTTGCTGACGGTTTACCAACCAGGTGGAGCAAACGAGCGCAGCACGATGTTAAACTTCTTGGTGCAACCATCCTCAGCAACCTCGATCTCGGAGGCTATTAAGGGAGTGCGACAATGGGCGCAATGGCGTTCCCGGTTAAGGGAATTGCGAGCATCTGAGCCGGATGCTACCTTGCTTATCAAGGGATTGGATGCTTTATCATCCGCGTTGCTGGCAAAGCACCCTACGGTGCATTTTAGAGTGGCATCCTTCCGGGAGAAATTGGGGGTGGACTACTCGCCGACCTCTGAAACTGCGACACAACTAGCTGAAATGTTACAAGCAGAATTTGAACTGCTATTGCATAGCGCTGGTGAACAAGAGGTGAAGCAGGACTCGGATGCCAAGAAAAGGGCCAGGTTAAACAAGGCCCAAAAGGGAACTGGTGACGAGACGGAGGAGGGTGACAAAGGCAAAGGAAAAGGAAAAAGGTACAGCGGAGATGGTGAACGTCCTTTCTGTTGGATATATGGGAAGACAGAAGCAGGCTGCAAGTTCGGATCACGGTGCAAATTTCGCCATGATAAGGACTCCCTGGAGCGTGGAAGATGTTTTGAATGTGGGGCCATTGGCCATTTGCAGCCGCAGTGTCCATACAAAGATGGTGTAAGTTCCAATGCGGACTCAAATCCTGAAAGGAATAGATCTAAAGGGAATTCTCCCAAAGGGGGAAAGGGCGGCAAAGGTGCAAAATGGGGAAATGCCAAAAAGGCAGAAGTGGCTGAAGTGGGAGATGAGATGGCTAATGCGGGATTGGATAAAGGTTCTGCAAGTCCCTCATCACCATCAACAACCAATCAGGTTCTTGCTGAAGCGTTGGAAGTGCTGAAATCTATGAAGCTGTCATCAGCGCAGTCAGCATCAAGCGGAGAGCCCAGCGTTCGAATGTTATGTGACTCTGGATTGTTTCAGCAGGACGGGAGAGTGGCGTTGGTGGATACAGCTGCTACGCATCTTGTGCGGACGCTTTTTCCATGGGAATGTTTACCCGACACTACTGTTATGGTGCAAAGCGCGCTTGGTGGTGTGACAATGAGGATTACAGAGAAAGGGACGTTGATTAGGGAAGACAATGGGCCCCTGATTATCCCTCTCTGGTTGATCTTGGAGTTTGGGGCGAACCTCACCGTGATCAATGGGATGTGTCACGTGAGTGCAAAATCTTCGCTGGACCAACTCTTATGGTTTGAACATGGCTGTTTGGTTATGGATTACAAAACAGCTGAGAAAATGGTTTTGCATGCTGAAAGGCAGCGTGCGTCGTTGTCCCATTCTCAATGGAGGAATGGAAGGGCGGACTGTGGAGTCGGTTCGTCTGATGCCACGTTGTTGCCGAAGCAGGGAGAAGGCCGAGGAGTATGCGTTCTACATGTGGCCAGGGTTTCTGACACCAATGAGTGTTCGGGAATGGGCATGTTGGACTCGGGAGCATCACATCCTCTCAGATCACTTCGTCCTGGTGAACAGCTTCCGCAGCAAAAGGTGTTGGTGTCTTTAGCTGTTGGATCTCGGGAGATGTGTATTACCCCAGGTGGGACCCTGGTAACTCCTGAAATGGTAGATCCACTAGTGCCAATTGGCAAAGCGAGCGCCTTGGTTGGTCTCAGAGTTCAGTGGCGTGGTGGCAAGTGCACAGCCTCACATCCTGTTCTGGGGGAACTTCGCGTTCGTGATCTGAATGGGTGCCCTTGTTTGGAAAAGGAGGTGGCGCTTCAGATCATTGATGAAATGGATTGGTGTTCACCAAAGCAAGCATTGAAGGTGGCACGTATGGTTCAAGGGTGTCCGAATACGGACAACGAGGTGGCTGTAAAAGCGTCGTTGCAAAGCGCAGCGCGGACAGCGTCAGCGAATGAGGAGGAGTTCGTCCAGGCATGCTGGCGGTTTCTTCGGTGGTATTATGGGGATATACCAGAAAATATGCTGATGGAGCTGTTGCCACGTGGAGATATTGCGGCGTTGCCTTTCAACCGTCATAAAAGGAGACGGCTGGCACGAGCAAAAAGGGTGGTGGTACACCTATTTTCGGGAAAACAAAAATGGCATTTTCCCAGTCGGGATGTGGAGGTACTGGAGCTGGATTTGACAAAAGGCGGTGACCTACATAATTCGAGCGTCTGGAAGTATCTTCTGCATCTGGCGGCTGAAGGAAAGGTGGTTGCTGTGGTTGGAGGACCTCCATGCAGGACAGTGTCAAGGTTGAGAGGTGAAGACGGTGGTCCACCTGTATTACGCCGACGCTGTGGGCCTGAACGGTTGGGATTAAAGAGTCTTCCTTGGCCACATCATGAATTAGCTCAAAAGGATGGTGTGTTACTTCTGAAGATGCTTTTCCTATATGACGTGGCGGTGCATTCAAGGTGTGGAACTGCTGAAGTCATCAATGGAAGTTCTGTTTTCTTTGGCATGGAAAGCCCTGGGGACCCTGAACTCATAGGGAAAGATTTCTCTCAGAACGGCAAAACGGTCTTGAGTGCTGAGGATCTGGTGGATGGTTCTCAGGAAGGGCTCTCAAGTCCTACCTTCTGGAGTTGGCCAGAGGTGAAAAGCTTTTGTGAGCGTTATGGAATGTACGCTGCACATTTTGATCAGGGAGCATTGGGACATGCTCTGGTGAAACCTACGACTTTCCTGGTGTCTGATATGGAACTGTGGGAATCGTTGGAACAGGTTCGCGTGGTTGTTCCGTGGTCGGCAACATTCGCTTCTACCCTGGAAGAACGTATTGGACAGTCCTCCATATGGGCGCG